GATCTGTTTTTTTATTATGATGAATAAAGATCTGCTTTAATGGATAATCCAAAGGAAGTTGACTGTCTGTATTTTGCCATAACTGACGCCCCAGTGTTGCAGCACGTTCTCATACAACAACAACAATAATAATAATACTAATAATAATAGACACACACACACACACACACACAGCAACGTGAGCGCACATTAGCAAGTGGCACAAATGCATTGGTGAAAGACTAATTCTGAGGCATCCTGCTCCAGCAGACTGAGACAGTCTGTGGCAGCGGAGCCTGAGAGGAGCCCTGGACAGACTGCAGCAGCAGCGGCAGACATGAGGACAGCCTTTACTCACCGCTTTAACGATGCAGAGTCCGGCTGTCATCTGTCATCAGCTCTGATGGCAACTCCGGCGACTACAACAAACAAAGACAAACAAACAAACAGAGCGTTAATTCTTTTTACGCAGCATCCAAAATCCAAGTGCCTGATGTTGCCACAGCGCAGTGTCGGTCGGAGCTCTTCCTCTTGTCATGAACAAAAGAAGAAATGTACACATACATGCCATTTTCTTTTCTCCCCCCCAACAAGCCATTTTGTGCGCACAAGGCGCAGCAGCTATGCGCACAGATAAAATACGCACTGAATACTCCTCCACAAACGCACCACCACCACCGAGCTGTTTTCTGACGAGGACGCGCGTGTGTAATTACCTGTAACGACAGGATGCTGATGTCTGTGTTGAGGGTGGTCAGCGGGGTCCTGCTCGGAGCCTGCCCCGGCCGCGCGGGGTGATGCAGGCTGGTGAGTGCGACGCTAGAGTCCAGCGCGATCTGCAGGTCCAGGATGTAGTCGATGACATGCTGCAGGATTTCCATCTTGCTGACGTTCTTGTTCTGCGGGATGCTGGGCACCAGCTCCTTCAGCTTGGAGTAGCAGTCGTTCATGTTGTACAGGAGGCTGAGCGGGTCGTCCACCGGGGTCTTGCTCCGGGAGATTCCCAGGGAGTGCTCCGATAGGTTCGCGCTGCTCTTCCGGAAGGACCGCACGGGGCTTATTGCTTTCATTTTAAATCAGTGTTGATGTTTTTAGCGAAGGGAAGCTGCGGTGGTTCTTCTTTTTAAAGTCCTGGTTGGAGCCAGACGGTGAGCGATCAGACTGGGATACTAAACTGTCAGTGCGCTTTATATAGGCGGCAGGCTGGGCATGCGACACGGGCGGGACAAACGCGACGATTGGGAGCGGCCACGGTGTCACTCAGCGCCTCGGAGCCCTGCAATTGGCTGCCTTTGCAGAAACCCAGCCCCTTCTCCTCCGCGTTACCGGTGGCAACGCGAGCTGGAGGCGGAGCGCAGAGGGCGCTCCAGCAGCTCCGGTGGGCAATTGGGGAAAATTAAGCCCCTACCTGTTTCTGATCAAGAAAATTAATGATTTGCGTGGCTGTCAATTGACTATGGCAAGGTGTGTGCACGCGCCAGCACCCCTGCGTGCGTGATTTTGATTTGATCTTGTGGTTCTGCAGTGGAGATCAAGCAGGAATTTATTTATACTTGAAATTCACCAAGAGAGCAGCCAGAATAAAATAATATCCCACAACCTCCACGTGCAACACTACACGAGTTTATTTCTAATAACCGATCAGAAGCACAGATCAGTCATAAAACCAGCAGCCATCTATTCTCCCTCTCCTTCCTGTTGCGGTGTTTGGAAGGTGAGGAGCAGTGATGGCATCAGGCGCGTCTGATGATTCTTAATTCACACCAGCCCGGACCGGTGTGCGCGTCTGTGTGTGAGGGTGTTTGGAGGCAAGTTTCATCAAACCGCAGGAGCAGGAACATGTTTGTAGTAAACAGCTTCCACCAGGGAAACGGTCAAGAGCGAGAGAAAAGAACGGAGCAGTTTTTACGCATAAGAAAACGCTTCCCTGTGCACTGAAGCTTGTGGATCCAATGGTGGTAAACTTGTCCGAAATATAAGATTCACTGTGTTGACGCTCAGGTTGTTTAATCACTATTGAAATTGTGCTCAATTCATTCTGAAATGTCAATGAAACTTTCAGAGCTGGTGCGCCACAGTTCCGATCAGCACATACACTTGATTGACCAGTTGATGTATAAGTTAAATTAACAAGTTTCCAGCCTGAGATACAACTCAAACAAACAGAACAACTACAACCGTTAAACGATTTGAATGTGCGCATCGAACACAAGTAAGAGCTGTGTTTTATCCAACACTGCCTCGAGCCACTTCACGGTTTTGGGGTGGCTTTGCGCATTTATCCAAATACCTCGCGCACCTCTATTGTAAACGGTCACCTGAGTGTGTTGTTGGTTCACTGAGTCATGTTTTACACACATAAGGCTTTATACCTGAGCACGTGAAGAGGTGACTGAAGACTATTTGACACGTTAATGTTTCCAGAATGACTCATTTGAAATTACACGCTTCGTTCTGCAGCTGGAGGTGATGGGAGACTGTTTGATGCCACTGACCGACTGAGTGGCCCCGGGGGCAGGTGCGTGTGTGAGGGACTGTTGTGATGTTCTCCATGTGCGTTTGCATGCATAGTGAATTGGATTTAAATTCTGATATAATATAAAATAAATGCATTTTGTGGTGTAAAAGTGGTTTGATGAGGAGTGGAGATGATTGCAGTTAAAAGTCTGGGTGGACTTGAGACGGAAATATTATAATTTGAATGTTTATTATCATTTTGCAGAAGAGTAGAGTGAAGGACACATACAGGTGAATCTGAACCTGACCGAGGGAGCGATTCTGCGTAAAGGACAAGAGGAGACGCAGATCAGAGCGCAGACAAAATGTTTTTTTCTGTATTGAGAGCAGAAACAACTTGGTGACAAAAAAGTTGCTCAGACCCAAACGGATGTAATGATACCTCTGATACAAGAGATTAACTCTAACGTTTCCCAGTATTTTACCAAATCCAACAAAGCAGCATCTGTGTCATTGTCTGTTACGCGCAGTTCTCTTCACCAGGCACGGACAGATTCTCCCTCACGATCCTCCTGCTCTTCTCTCTCCCTCTTTTTTTATGCATTTCTAATATCACGCGCAGCTCCCGCAGTCTGTGTCCACATCTGGTGCAATTGGATTTTTCCATTTTCTCTCCTCCATCCTCGCGATCCCGCAGCTGTGCACATTTCCCGCGTCCTACCCTGACTGATGGCTGACGGACAGGTGATGGATTGGCTCAAGGGCACGTCGGTGCAGAGCCGAAGCCGAGCAGAGAACCATGAACCCGGCAGCGGCAGGCTCTCTCTCCCTCTCCCTCTCCCTCTCTCTCTCCCTCTTGCAGACTCTCTGGCGCCGGCGCCGTGACGTCATCCCATTCACAGCAGCCCTCGAGCCAGGCCTCGCGGCGCCGCTGAGGCGGTTTCCATGGAGACGGGGTTTCGGAGGTGGTTCTCAGCTGATCGTCCCGGGACGCGGGTGTTTTTTCTCGGGGTCGCTGCGGGTTTGCGCCTCGGTGGCGGTTTGAGGGTCCAGCGGCCTCAGTTACATGAGGAGAAGACACGGAGCTTCACTAACACTCAACACGACATGTGACCAACAGGGAGGAGAAGAGTTGAACCTCGCCACTGATGGAATGTAACATTTACTCACACTCGGATTCTTGTAGTTTGATTTCAGAGGGAATTAATTAACCAACACCTTGACTCCTCCAGGCTCCATTTACTTAACATCTTGAGTTTACAAATAAATGTTTTTAACATCTTAAGCTGACTGGTTGTTTTTTGAGCTGTTTATTATCATCACACATTGCACAGTACGTTAACATCCCAGACGGTGTAAACAAGGTCTTAACAATCTTTGCACCAATGTGATGATCTAACAAAAAGCAGACTTTTGTAAGTCACACATTTACACGTGATATGTCAAAGTTCAAATAATCCCCTGCACCAGTTTGAAGAGTAAAATCAAATTTACATGATTTTCTCCACTATGAATATACTTTAACTTGTATTACTTGTGAGTAAATCTTTCTAATTCTACTTATTTTAATGAAGTATTTTTATTTTAGCAGGATTGCTAATATAAGTGAAAACCTCCACAGACGCTGAAATCCACTAATTCCATCCCTGCTATTCATTGCGACTTTTATTCTCAACCTTGTGGTGCCAACTATAAAAAAAAAACAAAAACGTTAAAATGCACTTTTATTAAACTCTTGTCAGTTTGGGGGGGTGTGAGATTTCCACCGAACTTTGGGAAACTCAAGGCAAATTGTAGAACTGTCGCCCACGACTGCTGAGAACATTACAGTTTAACTTTTACGAGACCAAACCTAACGTGTCCTCTGCTTGTGTATCATGGGAGCTCTGTCCTCTCTGTTTCACAGGCTGCTTGTTTCCAGATGTGACACTGTGATGACCAACATCATCTGACCCAGAGTCAGTTTGTCAAATGACCAGGATGTGTTTGTTTGTTTATTCATTTTATCCATAAATAGTTTGTTGCTGAAGAAGCAAAGAGCCACGAGTCATATTTTAAAAGTTTCTCTCAAAGTTTGCCCCTTCACCAATCAAAGACATTCCTCAGTCCCAGTGCACAAATACAAGCTCTCTCTCTCTCTCTCTCTCTCTCTCTCTCTCTCACACACACACACACACACACACACTCTCACACAACCTTCCGTATTAGTTTGGGTTCAGGAGATAAGGTTCAGAAAACAAAGTGGAGCTGCCCACCGGCTCCAGTCCTCCCTGCAGCCCCGGCGTCAGACTGTCTGCTCCGGCCAACGTGTTGATCCTCCTCCGCTCTACACGGAGCTTATCTAAAATCACTCAGTCGCTTTATTAGTATTATAATAATTAATGTAATTACTATTTGTATCATTGCAAATTGTATTATTTTAAAAGCAGCTAATAAATGTTAGGACACCTTTAGTGTGTGTGACCTGTCCTGAAGTTAAAGACAGGCCGCTGTGGGACGGCAGAATAAAATCAAACGTGTTGCCAGATTTGGAGAATAATCCGTATAGTTCCAGTAACAATTTTAAGATTACATAAGGATAAAACACGAATAATAAAAGCTGGAAATAACCAAAAAGTTGATGAAGACGCTTTAAACATGAAATCCTTTTTTTTTCAACTTCATCTCAACTCCCTGTCTTGAATTCTTTCCACTGATTTGAAGCTACAAACAGAACGCGCACTTTTACGCAAAACACTATGAATCCCTGAACTCGTTTCCACCGTGAGGTTAAGTTAAAAAAGAAGAAAAAATAAAAACACACGCGCACACAGACTTGGTGACTGTCCACGTCCCGCAGCTCTCGCGCTCTCCTGCTCTTCTCTGCCTGCCACGCGCCTGTCGCGTGCAGGAGTGTGCACATCAGTGAGTCGCGAGGACTCTTGTAGCTGCGTCGACCCCCCCGAAGGGCGTGGTCTGCTGTTAGACACCCCCACTCCACCAAACTGCAGCAGGAGTTCAGATCTGAGATCTGTGGCACTTTGATTCCTGTAATAAACACTGATGTGAAAGTGGCTGCAAACATCCTCATCATTCATTATTCATCAATCTATGATTTCGATTTTATGTTTTCATGTGTTTATGGTTACTGTCTTTTCTTTCAATTCTGCGTAATGTGTCTCAGAGTTTATTGAAAAGCGCTTTACAGATAAAATGCATTATTATTGTGATCGCCACCATAATTTTTAATCAGCAGGTGAATTCAAATACTCAGCTCCCTGAGGTCCATTATCTTTATTTTGTCATCTCAAATCAACCTTTCCGTGCTTTTCGTTAACTTTTAATTTACCTTTTTTGTTTTGTCATGTTGTTGTCCACCAGCTGAAGTCTAGGTGGGAAAAGGTGAGGTAGTGTGTATTTGGGCCCCCTCGAAAATTAGATGCTACATTTCAAGGGGCGATCCTGTTAAGAAATTCAGATTTAGAAATGTATTTGTTGTTTTGTATTGTGTATTTGCTCTGAACAATCAATCCATATTAGATCATTAGTTTACAATCACATATAAAGAACTATGATGGATGGCACTCAGAGAACTCCTATCTCTGCCATGGTCTCCTTAACTTCAATCCAGCCATACCAAATGACACACACTCATAGATATCAGTTCCCTAAACATGACTCTGATTTTTCATCAAGATTCATTTAGCACGAGTTAAATGTCTGGAGTAACTTTGTTTTCTTCGTTAACATAAACACTGATACATGAAGGTAGAAAGTAGTTTTGATTCGACTACACTACATCTGGTCTGTCGCTGTGCTCCTGTCTCTGTCCACCTCCGGCCTCTCTTTAGTCTCCTCTGTGGTCCAGATGGGACAGTCTCTGCTCTCTGAGCCATCGAGGCCTGGCTCCATTGTAACATGAGAGGCTGCAGCAGGCAAACAGGGACGACAGGAAGCACTGGGGGAGATGGATGGATGGGAGAGATGAGCTGGCCAGATTGGACGAGGAGACAAAGACACCATGGCTGCCCGAGTGCCTTTCAGGCTGGTCATGGAGTGGCCACTCGAAAGCCTCCCCGGAGGCCCGGCCCTCCACTGCTCTGCACACACAGTGCTCCTCCACAGCACACAGCTGGCTGCAGGGGACGAGGCGGGAGGCTGGATGGAGGTGGACGTCTGACCCATCGATATAAATGTTCTGCCACAACCTGCAACTATAATGTGATGCAACTACTCACACAAAGTTTTTAAAATTCCACTCTCATATTTTCTGTTAGAGTTGAACCACTCAAATCTTTTGGCCAGCGTGACAACCACCAACCAGTTGGCCGTGTGGAAAAGTTGGCTGCAGTATAACTTTTGGGCAATATTGCCCATTGGCATACAATCACACGTTAAGATTGCTGTGTCGCCCACCTATCACTGTGGCACAGCTGTCACTGCAGCTAACAGTCTGTACCCTACTAATCAGAGCTCTGCATATCTCCACTCTCACACAGGGAGTATGACAGTGTGGAAGTTGAACGTCCTGGTAGACTGTAATTGTTGAAATCGGATTTTTTCTAAATTCAGCTCGGAGAAAAGAGCTGAAGTGGTGTCTCTGTGTGTAAATAAGGAGTTAGCGTGCATTATCTGTCGCACGGTTACTTCACCAAAAGATTATCAACATGATCATTTGGTGTTGTTGACCAGCGATTCATGTATTGTAGGAAAATGACAGATGCAGTAAAAATCTAATGTTATTTTCCAGGGTCTCTGCTCGTCGTCGCTAACTGGAGTTTCAGCAAGTGAACTGATGAAGCTTGTGTTAGAATCCCAGGGTGCAATAGGTTCCTCTATTCCAGGGGGAATTGAGAATGTATACGAGACCTGAAAGTAGCTTGTGATACCACCCCGGCCTGAGACTTCTTGGAATCTGTGGTATCATGGGTGTGTGAGTGTTTAGTGTGAAGGGAGTGTGTCAAACTGTCCACTGTGAAGTTGCTTTCCATTTCAGGGAACTTCTGCATATGTTATTTCCACATTTTTTCAAAATGTTAATAGAAGACTTTTATTGAAATAGGTAACACAAGTTCCTCCAGTTTTATCACAATCAGCATTAATATGATCAGGTTGAGAAAGGGAAGAAAACTTCAACACTTCAAGTTTTAGAAAACATGGACGAGAAGCTCTCAGGAAAAAAATGACATTTGACCGTCAACAATTCTATAACAAGAGAAATCTGCTGAGGAAAATCATGAAATATGTTTAAAAGCATAAAAATAGATCTGGAGATGAGATTATCATCAATACAATGTATGCTATGGTACTGTTCTATATTTCATTCTTTTAACACACCAAACAAGCAATGTAATATAAAATATGCTGTTTAAAGTGACCATGAATCTGTGCACTGTGAAACTAATAAACCAGTGATTTACTTAATGAGATCGCACCATTTCATTTTTAAAAATTGTGTAGCCACACAACTGAAACACAACCACAACTGACGTTTGTTAAAGCAAGCTGCAGCTTAAAAGGTGATGCCTGTCTATTTGAGGTATTACGGTAAAGGTGAGTTCGTCCTTTTTGGGCGCTTCAGGCACCTGTACCGTAACACCTCAAATAGACAAGCATCACCTTTCAGGAAGGTTTTCACAAATGTTAGCTGACTTGACCCATGAGGAGAATACAGTGAGTAACTTTGTGTGTGTAAACAGCTGTTGTTGCTCATTTCTGTTGTGTTTGCATTTCTGTTGTGTGGCTTTTGTGGTTGTGTTGTAGCTTTTGCTGTTGTGTTGTAGCTTTTGTGTTTGTGTTGTAGCTTTTGAAGTTGTGTTGTGGCCTTTGAAGTTGCGGTGTGGCCTTTGCTGTTGTAGCTGTAGTTGTGTTGT